AAAAGGCTAGCTGTGATTAGCAAAAGGCTAGCTGTAAAACCCCAAACGGCTAGCTCGAAGTAGCAAAAGGGTGATGAAAGGTGGCAAAAGGCTAGCTGTGATTAGCAAAAGGCTAGCTGTAAAACCCCAAACAGCTAGCTCGAAGTAGCAAAAGGATGATGAAAGGTGGCAAAAGGCTAGCTGTGATTAGCAAAAGGCTAGTTGTAAAACCCCAAACATCTAGCTAGAAGTAGCAAAAGGATGATGAAAGGTGGCAAAAGGCTAGCTGTGATTAGCAAAAGGCTAGCTGTGATTAGCAAAAGGCTAGCTGTAAAACCCCAAACATCTAGCTAGAAGTAGCAAAATGATGATGAAAGGTGGCAAAAGGCTAGCTGTGATTAGCAAAAGGCTAGCTGTAAAACCCCAAACATCTAGCTAGAAGTAGCAAAAGGATGATGAAAGGTGGCAAAAGGCTAGCTGTGATTAGCAAAAGGCTAGTTGTAAAACCCCAAACAGCTAGCTATAAGTAGCAAAAGGATGATGAAAGGTGGCAAAAGGCTAGCTGTGATTAGCAAAAGGCTAGCTGTAAAACCCCAAACATCTAGCTATAAGTAGCAAAAGGATGATGAAAGGTGGCAAAAGGCTAGCTGTGATTAGCAAAAGGCTAGCTGTAAAACCCCAAACATCTAGCTAGAAGTAGCAAAAGGATGATGAAAGGTGGCAAAGTGCTAGCTGTAAGAAGTAGCAAAAAATAATTAAAAGGTGGCCCAAGGCTAGCTAGATGCCAGAAATGACATAAAAAGTCTAAAATAAATAATTTATGCTGAAGAGGATTTCAAAGAACAATGATTTTCAGAAGTTGAAACAATCTGTTTATTTCTTGAGAAAATATTTGTAAATTAAGTACCGTATTTAAAAGAATTATTTAAAAAAAAAGTATACAAGTTTCAAAACCCAAAAGTCCTACACCCCATCTTAATGAGCTGAACGTTTTGATTTATGAATTGTTAAAATAACAACAATAATGCAACAGTAATTACAAAAAGCACATGGGGGGGGGGGGGGTAAAAAATCAGGATATATGATCGTTAAGGACTTTATTTACATCGTCTTAATGACATGGCATGAAAACATGTCTCTGGTCTGGGAACACTCAGGTTAATAATTAGACACCAGGTTCGACTCGTCTGCAGATTACAGCCGGCTGTAGATCACTGAGTCACTTCCCTCACTTACATTTGTTGTGTTTAAATAAGGAGTGCTAGTCGGCTCTAGAGTTTCCTGTCCAACTCAGAGGGTCGTTCAGCGTTACTCAACACCACGCCTTTAGCTCCGACTCGTCAGATATGAATCATGGTTTACTGGCTTTGAGATGGGATGGTTATTTATGCGTCGATGTTGGAGATCCTCGCAGGAGACAGAATGAATAAACAAAATCTTTGGTTGTAATTGAAGGGACTTTTAGTCGTAAATCTTGGAGTCTGATTGAAGAGAACAACCCTTTTTCTTTGAAAGTTATTTTTTTCCTGTACTGTATTACAGTATACAAGCTACGAAACGTACTGGGGAAAAACAAAACAAAGACACCCAGCAACAACAAAAACTTTCTCTGCAAAAAGCCACAAAGTGGTTGTGGGCACCTCAAACCAATCTTGGTTTTCATCAGAAAGCCTAGACCACACTGCTGCAGAGTAGAAAATGTTTACAGTACCGGTATATTATTTACCAGAGTATTTTGGCACATTTCTGTTTCACGTGAGGATTTTTATAGACTTAAAGATGTTAAATTAAACTTTATTAGCAAGCCTGGCGGGGGAGGGGGCTTCACGTGTAGGTTGGGTTTCCTTCACACCTGCTGTGTTTGCAGTCAGAACGAGCAGCTCTTCCTCATCCTTCAACAGCCTGTTGGGGTGAAAAGCTTCGTCCGGGTGGAGCTTAATGAAGGAAAGGAAGGGAGGATCAGACGGGATGTTTGGGGAACTAATGGACCGAGAGTGGCTGGTGTGATTAGCAGACAACACGGAGGAATCATACGTTTAAATTTCAGTTTAGAAAAACAAAACCTGGCCAGTTTGAGTCTTTTATATAGTTTCATTTATTGTTCCTCGTCACAGGGTGAAAGAGGGGAATTGTAAATACTGTTCATCTGTTTATCCGTGCGTGTTGTGAGCACGACAACTTGAAAAATAAGCGAGGTACTGACTTCCGTTTTGGTGTATACTTCATCACGGTGTAGAAAAGGGTCTAATAAATTTGGTTGCCACGTCAAAATCCAAATACACATGTAAACCGGCCACCCCTGTCATTTGTGGAAACTTTTTTTTTTTTTTATTGCTTGAAAGTACCATTTCCTCCAAAGATTGGGGTGGCTGTAGATTATCTATGGTGGCCAGGGCCACCATTGGTCACCCCCTAGCTCTGCCATCGCCCCGTTGGTGGATAAAGTTGATCCCACCACTCGCCAGGATCTCGATATTTGCGCTGCCTCATTTAAAGAAAAAAACAACTACCTCTACTTATACACAGTCCATAAAAACATTCATCTCTAAAACTACAAACATTCACTATTTAAATCCGTCAGCGACAGGGGACATCTGCGTACAGCTTGTTCAAGATCTCGTGTTCTCGTTTACAACCAGGCATCATCTGCATACAGTCGAAATGTCTATGTCACAAAGCGCCACAGTAAGTTGGGTTGTTTGAGGTGAAACGTGCTCACCAGTTTAAAACCAAGTACAGAAGGATTCAGTGTGCACTTCTTTTTATTTTATACAATCGAGCTACCTCACTGAGGTGGTAATGTGTGGTTAACCTTCAACCGAACGAGCATCTGCAGAGAAACAGAAACCAGCCGGAGTTATTTCAACTATTTGTTTTCTCACCTTGCGTACATGCTCAAAGGTTGTCCATCTTCCTTTCCTTTTAGTGCTTTTCACACACCTGGGTCTGTTTGTCTAAATTAATGTTTAATATGTGAAGCGGTGCAGCAGGAGCGTTTCTGCAGGTCCTGGTTTACCCTGAGCTCAACCATCCGAAGGAACGTTATTGGTCCTGTGGTCATTCAGGAACTAAACACTTACAGATGTGCTCAACTTTTAGCAACACTGTGCTTCTCTGTTGTATCTGCTGAGCTTTGCTCCTAATCAGATGTTACTATTTCTCACATGTTCTCTGAACCTGCAGAGCTCCATTTAATCAGAACGCTCTGGTTTCTCTGCAGCTGAAGGGGGTGAGAGTCTTAACTTTAAAAAAAATGATGTTTTCAAAGTAGCCATTTTATCAACAGGAAGTCCCTCTTCCCCTCACATTTACCAAAAGCGTCCTTATTTAGAAAAACCACTAGGGACGAAACATTAGCAGTGGTTAAATGAGTGGTCTGGGTCTCTCATGATGTCTTGTGCACAGAGGAAACACTAACAAGATTTACATAAAGATTTATTGTCCCCCGTCATGGAACAAAAAGGGGGAATGGAAAATACCGTCCGTCTGTCTGTCCGTGCATGTTGTGA